TGCCACTAGTGACTTACAAATACAGCCCCAAGAAGAAGTCAGATGCATTTTGGGGAACCTGTGGGATAGACTTCTTTGTGCACTGATGCTGTATACCTGAAACTTTTGCAATGCAAAAATGTTCCACAGTTATTCAGGACCAATAGGTTTTGTGGCAAATAAGTAAGGAAATAATTCCTTGTTCGTACTAGTCCCATGATTAAGGGGATGGACCAAAAGACTTCCAAGGTCCCTTCCAATCCTATGATTCTATGGCTTTCAATTTGTCTTAAAGAGCTGGTACATCTGTTTCCTCTGTAAAAGGATATCCTGGGCTCAAATAGATGCAGTACATGTTCTCTTGCTTCAACTGAGCCAAAATACAAATGCATTTGATCTTGTAACACAAAGCAGGCATGTGTTTTACAAAAGGGATGCATACTGGTTTTTTGCCTCTGCATCAAATAAAAAATGATATAAATACAAATTTTGGATCAGATATTGGAATATTTGATCTCTTCTAAGGAGATGGCTAGAACAGGACCCTTAAAGTCATCCATCACCATTCCTCTATCTCTATTTCCAATTACATTTTTGCACTAGCTAGTTTTGATTTCTTGATTTGTTTCATATGCTTCTTGTGACTGAAAGTAGAAGATATAAGAGGTATTTGCTGTAGGCATGAGCACATACTGGTAAATGGGAAGCAGTTTCGTGACCTTTTAATGAATATATTTCATGCTATTTTTTTTAAGTTAAAATTATGGCCCAATATACATTGTAAAAATCCTACAAATCTACCCTATTTACCAATTTAAGTATTAAATCACCTATTATTCGATTACATTGCTCAAACGATGTTCTCCAATTTCTAGTGCTTTGCAGAATAAGATTTTATGCAAAGCTTTGCAGAATAAGATTTTATGGGGTGGAGTATCAAATACCTTTGCAATATTTTTTCTCGATTGGCAAGAATTTAATCTTGAGGGTGTTGTTATCCCATATCAATTTTCCAGTTATTCTTTATTGGAGGTATAATATGTCCCAATTTCCTCTCCTGATTGTTCAGAACCAAATTACAAACTAAAGTGCTTTATTGTTTTGCTCACACTGGTTTGATACATCATTGTTAATCAAACTTTTTGTACGAGTCCTGTAGCCAATAGTTCATTTCACAAATACCGGTACCTATGTTTCCTGAAGGGAAATGAAATTACATGTCAACCTAGATGGATTGCTGGTTTCACATCCTCTAATGTAGTAATTGGATAAGATTGTTGTCAATCTGGAAGACGTAGAAGAAAGTTATCCCCATTAAATGTAGAATGAATTGCTTTTATGTAAATCAACTGTGGATTCTGCTGCAGGCTTTGGAACGCTGCTGAAAATGGGAAGAATAACACATCCCCGGAGCAGCTGTCTAAGCAGCTAACTAAATGAAAGGGAAGTTTTCTAACTAAGAAAGTAAGATGAAGGAAGGCCTTTTCTATCTGTATTCCCCTGACTTCTAGGCATTTAACAATTCTATAAATGTCTTCACTCTTCAAGCTGCTCAAGCCTTTTTCTTGAGAAGCACTTAATATCACCATTGTGTTGGTTGGGCTTGAATAGACAAGATAGAAATTCAGAGTTTAAGTCCTCATAATCAAACATGGAAGGCAGAGAAAGTGAATACTTAACTATAGTTGAATGGATGTTTGTCATGAATGTGAGTGTGAAGCGGAAGAAGTTATTTGAGAGATTTTTGGATCATGATCTTTGTCTAAAGGTAGTTTGGTTTGTGGTTCCTTCCTGCATTATTTCTTTGCCTTTGTGTATTCCCTTGAGAGGAAGTTGAAGCTAACGTGATTAATTTAAAGAGGAGATCGTCCATTCAAGAAAACATGCCAGGAAATTCTCTTGGCAAACTTGGCTGGTTGTATTTACATTTTCTTAAAAATGTTGAGACAGAGCCAGGAGTGAGAAGTGAGAAGAAACTATAATGGGGACTTTCAGATATACAAAGTGGTTCGTGTATATTAGCTTGGATCTGATTGTCAGCTAAGACTGAAATGGTGGCTTCTGTTGAACAGTTTTGTGGTTGACAAGATTTGACCTGAAACCATCTCAGCAAATCCTCTTAGTTGCTTGGCTAAACTGTGAGAAAGCCAGATGGCCAGGAGGTTGTCTGCTCCAGGTCAGATTCTTTTGGACATGACCTGCTCCACTGACACCTTTTTGGAAAAGTTGATGCCACTGGTGCCAGAACCTGGCAGTTTACTGTGTTCTGCCAAAGTACTTTGGGCCAAAGAAAATTCTTCCCTCATCTCTAGGAGATGTTGATCGAACTAGAAAATGCAAGGAAAATCTGACACTTTCTAAAGAAATGCAACCAGCATATTTTCATTTGCAACACCATTTACAGATGATACAATACAGAAGGGGTCTACAATTGTGCTGAATTTTCCCCATGCAGTCTTTTGCACAGGCTGCTGCTTTCAATATGGGAAGCTTTCGCCTTGCTATATTTCTATACAAGACTGCTACTGCTTTGGCAGTGCATCTCGAATGTATGCTGAATAAATTCATCATAAGCTACATCCCTTTGGGATGCGGCTTACAATCAGTTCTGCTGAAGGAGCTTCTTGGATGAGAAGCAAAATGTTTTCAAGGAAAAAGTCCCGTTGCCTTTTGGAAAAGCACCTTTGGGACAACCATGACTTGGATGATTAAGAATCTCCATAGATGTATGCTGCATTATTTAGTTAATCCTTTTGTTTTAGCAGCTATTAGCTCACCATTTAGGGATGGAAGATTAAGCACTCTCCCACTTTTCAATTTTGAATAGGATTTATCCAACAATACTGTATAAATATAAACAGGTAAGGAATTAGTCTTTTCCCACAATTTAGCCAAATTTTAAAATAGGTAAAAGTATATCCACCCTCCTAACATACAGCTTTTCGGTTTTGTAGGCCTATTCTACTAAGGCTAAAGTAAGAGTTAAAGTAATTCTAAACTTTTTTTGGAGAAAAAAGCTAAATAAAAATCTTCTCTTTCAATAGGGCATTTTCAAGCTAAAATATATTAACTAAACTTGAATGCTAGTATGAGTTGTATTTAAAAAAAACGTAATATGTGGTTGCATCTTTGGTATTGATTAGCCCTCTGCTGGATACAAAAATGTAAACTGATAATTCTGTAAATGGATTAATCCATACATAAATCTGGCTTTTTTTTTTAAAAAAAAAAGAAGAATAGTTGATTTTTCCAGAGAAAATGGCTAGAATTAACTGCATGTGTTTTGCTGCAGTGACTTTGGATAGGGAAATATAACAGAAATAACTATAACCTGTCACCGGATATTATAAAACTCTTTCTCTATCCATTTAAAAGACCTCCATTGTATTCACCTTAAATAATTTGTATTAGAAATAAATAATTTCCGTCCCATGTAACTGATTTTCCAGTTCAACATTTATCCACTCTGGGATGTTATTATACTTTGTCTTTGCTGAATCTACAGAAACAGGAATGGGAACATCTCCACTTACAAAACATACCTCCTAATACAGTAATTCTGCTGCTTTCATATTTAAGGGGATCTCGTGAAAGTGACATCCCAATTCTGCCCCACTCTTATTATTTTGCTTATTTACTGATACACAGTAAACAGGAAGCACAATCATATGGTTGACTGGGTTTCTCTGAAGAGAGTTAATTGGAAGAAGAAAATGGTAATTTCATCCAATCCTTCACTTCTATAAATTGGAAAGGGTATTTCCATTGCTGTGTTTGGCTGTGTAATTTTTGCCAAGGTCGTAAACAAATTCCATTACATTTCAAGTTCAACAAATGTAGAACTGGATTGTAATTTAGAAACTCCCAAAATGTACTCTTTATTTTTAGTAATTGTGAAAACAACTCATGTACAAAAGTTTTTTTGCGGTTGCTAAGACACTGTCTTGATGGCACATTATCAGTCAATCAATCAATGAAAACAACTACAAGAACAAAACTAAGGGTAGTGTCAGATATCTCTTTTAGTTGTGTTGGAGACTAATCTGGATATTATAAAGAGTATGGAATTATTAATTTTTTTAATCACTTTCAATATAACCATCTCCAAAATTTCTACTTGTCTTTAGTATTCTTTTCCTCTGCTGAAGATTGCCAAATCTGTTCTGGTTCTGCTCTGCTTCTCATCACGCCATCCAGGCGTGGCCAGAGAATGGTTTTGTGGAACAAGCAGGACAATAATACTCCAAATCCTTTTTAAAAAACCCTGATAATTGGGTTTCTTTATTGGTTAACAAAACATAGGAGGAGGAGGAATGGAAAAAGTAAGGGTGATGAAATGGAAACAAACACAATTGATGTATAGAGAATCTTTTGTTTTGCTTCCCATTATAATAAATCTGATCTAGCTGTTCATGGCTTGCCAGGCTCTTTTATTAAAGTAGATGTAAACATTATTAAAGTATGATCTAAATAATTGTTTTTTGGGGAAGCTGATTTTCCTTTCCTCCCTCTGCAAATGAGGCTTGCAGGAATACTATTGTTCCTCATTGGACAACATCTGAACTGCTGTATATGTTTTGACAACATTCAGGTAGCTGAATGGGAAGAAGAGACAGGTCTTTACACAAGACTGTACACAATCTTAACACGAAAATGAGCAACATCCCCCAGCATGATGAACTGCAGTCAGAGGGCCATCTCAGCAGCAGCAGCCCCAATGCACTGAGAAAACTCCAGGTTTGGGAAGGCTGATTGCAGAGCAGTGTGAAATTCTGTGCTGTGTGTCTGCTTTCTCTCTTCCCATGGTTTGAAAGGAAATTCAGTGAAAGGCAAAATGAGCCCATTTCTTTAATGTAAACTTTGCGGTTGGTCTTAAAACATAAGCCAAACTGGAGAGAAAACTGGCAAATAGTAGGCTTATGTGAGTATATGGTATTATGAAGGCCCTGGGTTGTAATAAATAGGAAGTATTAACCTAATCTTTTGAAGGCCCTTAACAATTCTTCCTTTTCTTACTTTAGGATGGAGAAGAGACATTTAATCGTGCAAAGCTTCTGAATGTAGGCTTCACAGAAGCTTTGAAAGAATATGATTATGACTGCTTTGTATTTAGTGATGTTGACCTAATCCCAATGGATGACAGGAATATCTACAAGTGTTACGACCAACCCAGGCACCTCTCTGTATCTATGGATAAATTTGGATTTCGGTAAGAAGTTGGTTGTTTACATTTAGCATAAAACATATACTGTACCAATATGAGTGGATTGTTGGGAATTGGTGGCAAATAAATATAATAATCTCTAGTCAAGGGGATCCGGAGGCAAGAATATGACCATATCTACACTTGCATTATACTATTGGAAGGAGGGCAGTTTTCCTATTGTATGTTCTCTATTGGGGCCCAAACCAATATTTAGGGCAGTGGTTCTCAACCTTTTTAATGCCACGACCCCCAACCGGTCATAAGTCGAGGACTACTCAATCAGTCGCAAGTCGAGGACTACTCAACTGGTGCAGCACCGTTTGCAGAATGGGACTTTTGGTGGGCTTAGCAGGCCAGAGACAGCCTGGACAATTCCTATTGGCTTTTGAAAACCAATAGAATTAAACTCTATTCAAGAGAGTCTATTCTACTGGCTTTCAAAAGCCAATAGAATAAAAGGGAGTAGCACAGCTAAGGAAAAGGGGGAAAAAATGGCGGACTGCGTTGTTTGGCGACCCCCGTGAAATGGTCGTTCGACCCCAAATGGGGTCCCGACCCACAAGTTGAGAACCACTGATTTAGGGGGACCTTGAAAGTGATTCTTTTTAAGACATAGCTTGAGTCAGTGGTGTGTACCTTCACAGATAAATGTGATATCTGTTCTAATGATACTCTAATTATTCTTACTTTTTTAATTGCCCAGTCTAGCTTCCAATCTTATATTCCCATCTGAATGCTAACTGGTCCCTACCTTGCCTTATAAGCTTGCCCTCCCAGCTAAGACAAGGTGACCTAGATGCTGTTGACAACTCAGCTAAGGTTGAACAATTGTATATGTATACATATACAAATACATTTACATGTGTGTACAAAATTTATACACAAAGACACACCTGTATAAATATGTATATGTATACATGTAGCATAATATATAAATTTAATGAAGATTCTTTTTACAAAATTAAAACTACAGAAAAATTAAAATATATATAGAAAAGTGAAAAAGATATATAAATATAGGAAAGAAAAACAGAAAAAAAGTGAACAATAAACTGTAGATCCAGAAGAAAGAAATATTTAAAGAAGCAGTTTGTGATCTTTGCAGCAGTTACAAACATAGCTAGTGTTGTTTCCAGCCTCTCAAATTACACAATAGAATTATTCTTCCTATATAAAGCTATAAAAATGAACCATAGATTTCATTTTTATCCATTTTCATCAAAACGTCCATAAAAGGTTTGAAGTCTTTTATAAAGGTAGCCATGGCTCCTTCCAGCTTGAAAAATGGTTTTAATGAATTCTGAACTCAGATTTCAGAAAACACAGACTTATGTATTGGCACAGACATGTTTACAGGAGTCTGAGGCTACATGTTACTTTTTCTGATCACTTCTATCTAGAATTGTGACCAGCGATGTAATCCAAGCTTCTCTGTGATCACATGATTTTAAATGAACAATTTATCTTTGTCTCTTCCAGCTTACCTTACAATCAATATTTTGGAGGTGTGTCTGCATTAAGTAAGAAGCAATTCCAAAAAATCAATGGGTTTCCCAATAATTATTGGGGCTGGGGTGGTGAAGATGATGACATCTATAACAGGTAAGATCCCTTATCTTTCTAGTTAATGTTGAATTTGAGGCTGGGTATGTTGTTTAGTTTTGGGGGTTGTGCCTGGCATGATAGTTTTTCTCTGTGCCATTTGTTGATTTATGGTTTCTTCCTATGTTGCTCTAGTGCAGGGGTCCCCAACCCCCAATCCGTGGACCAGTACCGGGCCACGGCATGCCAGTAACCGGTCTGCACAAACAAGTCCCATCTGCGGGATGCAGGCAGCATACAAAACCACACACCCTCCAGTCCGCGGAAAAACCTCTCTCCACGGAACTGGTCCCTGGTGCCAAAAGATTGGGAACCTCTGCTATAGTGCAGTGAATGTATGTAGCCTTATGGGTACAAGAATGCAAATCAAGAACTAGCCTTTAAGAAATATTTACATATTAAGAGTTTGTCTTGACAAACGTGCCTATGGGGGTCTAAGGAATTTCAGGGTCTTCAAACCATCTTTGACTTAGAGTAACAATCATCTACAGCCCAAATATGGACAAATGAGCCAGTATCAGTTTAGATTATCATCACTGGAGGCTCCTCATTTGCCTAAACATTAAAATTGAGAATACTTATAATCCATGCATAACAAGGCTTGATTTAATTATGCCATGCTTTTTGTGTGGTACTTCCCCTATCATTGTTCACTATAATTTCTGAGCACCGATCTAGAAAGGGATCTTTGAAGATACATTTATTTTTCAAAAACTAGCCCACCTCTCTCCTAATAAGTGCATCTATTTCTCTCACCCTGACAGTGTATTGTATCATATAGGAGTTTTTTGAGATTACAGTAAATGGCAAGAGGTCTTCATACCTGTCCCTGTGTCACTTTTTCACCTGGCTTATTGTTGGTGAAATGAATTTTTGTCTTTTAATTTAATTTAATTTTTCCCTGCCTTGTGTTTCCTTTGCTTCAAGATGCAGGTGTGATAACACGTGAGAATTTTCTTCCTTCACCCATTTCTTAAACAAATATATCTTTTGCTTCAAATTAAATGTTCACATTTATAACAGCTGGGCTAAGTCCATATATTGCAATCAAGATGTAAGTTTTAATGTTGTGCTACTTAATGACTCAGTAGTACTCTTTCAGCACTTTGCTTATGCTTATAGAAGAACATTTTTAAATAGTAACTCCTGCTGAACTCAGCTCTCAAACCAAGTTTTTTCCCCTGCCCCAGCCATCTCACCTGTGTTGTGATATTTTAGTTGGATTATTTGGCGGATTGCACTAATAAATGTTGAGACCAAGAAAGTAGTGTGAAAATGCCCCCCCAAATCAAGGCAGCTTTATTTTAAAAAAGCAAGCAGAGGATTTCCTAGCCAATTTGTGAAATAGATCAAAATATAAACAGGCTTTTATAGTCCCATTGCAATTATGTATGCTTAGAATTAATGCTGAAGGTTTAGGGGATTTTTAGGCCTACGCCGCAGGTGTTGACTCTCATTTTCTCTTTTCTTTTTCAACTATGTGGGCACTGAGAACAGGGTATTACTTTTTTGCTAATAGGTACTTGTTTCAAAGTGTTGAAGCTGTTGGAGATGCAAAGCTTCGCAGACTACATACCGGTATATGTTAGTCTAGGAATCTGCAGATATTCAAGTTGTTATTCTAAGTGCAGGCTAGTTTGTGACTTCTAAAATGAAAATATCCATTCAGCTAATCTGTGCTACAGTTATAGAATTAGCTTGGTCTGTTTATGTGTTCAAGTTACTGCTGAATTTTAGAAATGATAGTTTCACATGCATACACACAATGTTTAAATGACAGTGCAAAGGATCTTCAAATGTTGAAAGAAGAGGTGTTTGGCAATTAAGAAAGTGTCTTTATTTGGGTTTTTGCTACCTGCCATATGGATGGAATATGGATGGGAAATGAACAGAAGTGATCATGGATGTGGATGAAGACAAAGACATGGATGAAAGATGTCACCAAAAAAGCCAAGGGTGTTGTGCAATAAAATCAATAAGACCCCCTCACCAAAATAATGAGTCCTTTGCAAATATCCTATGAATTTTTCAGATTGAAATCACAAGTGAATATTCCAACTATAAGGAATTCAGAAAGATATTCTGAACATAAAAATATTGAGTGTTTACCCATCCTGCAGTATAATTGACACATGGATGTCCTGTAACATTCCTGCATTTTCTGTGCAGGTTTCAAGGGCTTTCCAGCTTCCATGTGACATACATGAGTCTCAGAGTCACTATTTTTAAGTGACCTGATATGATGTACAACTGTAATACCTGTAAGGGGGCATTGAACTACAGATCTAAATTGGAAAGGCTTAAACTTCGTGGAACTCCAGCATCTTGCTGATCACAGGTCTATTTTAAAATGGACATTCTGAATATAGGATCTGTGCTGTGTTAAGTTATATGGAAGTTCTGCTTTTCTGAATCAGCTGCATATGTGAACTTGCTACTAGTTTGCTCTGGAACAAATCCAAATGCCTTCTTTAACTCAGATTAAAACATTTTAAGAAACACTTTGGCACATTGGCTTTAGAGGACACTCCAGTGGAGTTTTCTACTTTTCAGATAAATATAAGTATTCACTGTTTATTTTTATTGCTTTAAATGAAAGTTGATGTATGTGCTGCCATTACTTTGGTTTAAGATCTGGTTTCTTTTGTTGGCTTCTGCCATGTTATTGCAATGAAGTTTAATGCTAATGACATAATGAACCAGCTCATTGTCTATATCTAATGTATAGCTCTGGCTTCTTTTGTTTAGGGTACAATCAAGCAAGTGCAGACTAGCCCACAAAAATGTCTCACTCCCCTTTCCATCCTTAAGTGTGGTCTAAAAAAAAGCAGCTTATGACTTTCAAGAGCAGGGGTGTCAAACTGCCGACCCATGGATGGGATGCGTCATGACGAAACCACGCCCACCCCATTGTCGGCAATGGGAAAAAAGTCACGATACGTTGTGACACGTCACGTGACGTTGCGAGTTTGATACCCCTGCTCTAGATTGTCTTCGTGTCTTGTTGCTTGGAGGTAGTTAATATTTGCCACAGCATGCTGGAGAGTGGCTAGCTCCATGTATATGCTAGAAGGAAATAAAAGATTTCACAAGAGTTCTGCTAAGGCAAACCAAAGGCCTATCAATGTCAACATTTTGGGAGGCCCATCGCCATAAGGACATTATTGTCCTTCTGCTCACATGTTGCAGCAGCTGATATTTGGAGACAACTTTTCTCTTACTCTGGTGACAATATGCAACATCAGTGATTAAAAGCTATTAATGGACTAATTTGCTTTCAAACCATCTAGGTTGGTAGCACTTTGAATAGCAAATTCCTTAGTTCAGCTGTGCACAGCAGGTAGGGTTTCTTTTCATCTGCCTTAAATCTTCCACCTTTCAGCTTCAGTGGACCATCCTGGATGTGGCCTTAATAGCAAAGCCTTTTCTTGATTATTTTCTCCACCTCTTGCATAACTTCATACACTGTTTGACTAGACAGATTGTCAAGTATTTACAGACCATGAACACCTGTGTTCTCCTTTCTAATGGTGTTAATTTTGGAGAGTTCAGTGGAGTTGTATGGCAGCCACAAACTGAGCTGGAGTGGCTTGCTTCCAGAGAGAACTGGGGAGCATTGCAATGTTCCTTTTCTTGCTGTTTTAGAAAGCAGGTGATCCAGGGACAGAGCTCCATGCTCCACGCTACTTAAGGGTCACTGTTCTCCTTGTCTTCTAGCACTGCTCTCTTGATTTATATACCAAGTGAGAGGCTGTCTGCCTGCTGTGGGGTCAAGACTTTGGCAGCAAAGCAAATAATGTTTCTGCTCTGTCTCTTTGAATACTCAGTTTCCTTGGCACATACTACTAGGTGCACATTGTGTTTGGGATGAGCAGGAAGTGTTTTATGTCAAGAGGTGTTAAGTTTGGCAAAACAGAAGGAAAATATGCTTAGCATTTAGCAGTCACCAGGCTTTTTAGATGGTATTCTTAGAATACCATTAAGAGACTGGGAAATACCAGACTGTGGTTGATACAAGAATCCATTTCTAGACTCTGCTAGAAGCCCTGCTCTTTAATTCTGAATAAATTCTGCTCACAATTTAGAGGAAAATTTTTTTTCAGGAACTTCAGAAATATACTTAGCAAATTTTACTCCCCCCCCCCAAAATAGAGAACGATATTATCACATACAAAACAACAATGTTTAGCGCTTACAAGGTCACCAGTACTTCCTGTTTCTCATTTACACCATTACTCTGAAACTTGTTTTTCAGCCCTCATATTTTTTGCTTCTAATCTGACAGTGCCCTTGTTTAACATTATTTTGTTCCTACTTTGTCAGGTGCACATATATTTATTTATGTAAGCATTTTTGTTCACAGACTTTCCAACATTAGCTGGGTAGCAAGGAGGTCAGGCTTAAAGAGGCTGGGAGTTGAGGCACAGCCTTTCTCTGGCAGGCAGCAGATCTTATGGGCAGGCTTTAGACCTTCAGAGGAGATCCACGTGGTCTGCCCCTGATTCGTCACCTTTTGACCATCATTCTAAGCAGATCATTTCAATATCCTTAAGGGTGGCACCTTGCCCACGAACAGATAATGGATTAAAACAGAACTGTTTGAGATAATGTTTCAATTAATTACTGCAGCCTTAAACCATATTAATTAATGGGGGAGAAGTTCCTAGATATTGATATACCTGTTGTAGTTATATTTGTTATGTTGTAGAATAAAATACGAAGCATGGGTTGAGTTAATGACTTACTTTGGTTAAAGGGATGTGACATGCATATTTCTGAAATAAGGTTTATGGCATTTCATACATGGACTAGCATAGTATGTTAACATTTTACCTAGATTAGTAAAACACAATAAAATATAAATGTTAAAAAGATCTATATTCAAATGCCAATGTCGAGGCCATTTAACCATTGAAGTGCAGCATCGCTTATATTAAAAAAAAAATCAGATACTGGACTAGTCTATGCCCTCAGCTTACAACCGGCTACGATGTTATCTACAGCTTGATGTGGGACCCTGCAGTCACACTAAGGGGAGAATGTTATGCCCCATTTATACAGAGAGTCCCAGCAGATGCTGTGTAAGGTACGAATCCTAGTCAGCATTGTCCGTTGCTGACGTGGTGGTTCAAAGCCTGGCACCTTTTTCCATGGGGGTCATTTATATGTCTTCCTGTGTCTGGGCGTTCAACGACCCATTTGACTTTCCATTGGGAATCGATATTAAAGTTGTTGGGCAGATGTTGTGCAAGTGCCAGTAGGGGTTTCCTGGATTTGAATCTTCCAGCTGATAAATGAGGAAGGTCGGCATGTACTGGTAGGGGTGAGTTGTTCATAATTTTTCTGTATTCTCTCACTAGTGCATCATGTGTAATAAAGCTGGTGGTGCTTTATGGCTCATAACAGGAAGCCAGCAAGTAGGAGTGGTTTTAATACATCCGCTTATCATCCTTATGGTGTCATTGAGTCTGGCGTCTAACTTACTAGTATGGCAGCTGTTAAGCCAAACGGGCACAGTATTCTGCTGAGGAGTAGACTATGCCTAGGACCTGAGGACTTGAGGATGGCAGCTCCAGCTCCCCATTTAGTTGCACGTAATTTCTGGAGTGTGTTGTTATAAATAACAGCAACGAAATGAGTTCAGGTTTTTAGTGGCTTACAGAAATCACTAAACTATGCTCTTAAAAGAGGAAAAGAGAAGGTGTGTTCACCTAACAGAAACCTGACCCTTTATTTGTCTTTGCAGATTGGTTTTTAAAGGCATGGGAATTTCCCGCCCAGATGCTGCAATTGGAAAATGTCGAATGATTCGCCACATGAGAGACACTAAAAATGATCCCAATCCACAGAGGTAGGTTCTTCATGCTGCTTCTGCCCACACTTAGTAAAATTTTCTTTTTTATATTTATATCCTGCCTTTTATTCAGGAATTCAACATACATAGTTGTCCTTCCTCCCATTACCCCCAACAACTTTTTGAAGTAATCTGGACTGGTTCAGAGTCATAGAGAGAGCTCTGTAGTTGAGAATAGGCTGGAATCTGAGTCTTCTCAGCACAAGTCCAGCAGTATAATCACATAATCAACAGCATAATCAATTATAATCATAATCAATTTCAGTTGAACTCTAATTTCTAATAATCAGAAGGTCAATCAAAAGCAAAAACACGTTTCCACAATTGGACTACTCCTTATAACAGGGGTCCCCAACCCCTGGTCCATGGACCAGTACCGGGCCGCGGCATACCAGCAACCGGGCCACACAAACAAGCAAAGCCCCATCTGTGGGATGCAATCAGCACACAAAATCACACACTTTCCTTGGCGCCCAAGGGGACCTCTGCCTTATAACAAAAAAAGCCAGTTTAGTTTGGTGGTAAAAGCACCAAGCTAGGAACTAGGAGACCGTGAATTCATGTCCCGCCTTAGCCATGAAAGCCAGCTGAGTGACTTTAAGCCAGTCACTGTCTCTCAGACCAACCCACTTCCCAGGATGGTTGTTGTGGGGAAAATAGTAGGAGGAAGCTATATGGGATATGTTCACTCCCTTGAAATATTTGTAAAAATAAAAGGCAGGATACAAAAATATAGCAATAGTACTTAGACTTATATACAACTCCAAAGCACTTTACAGCACTCTCTGGGCAGTTTTCAATGTCAGCATATTGCCCCCGCCCAATAATCTGGATCCTCATTTTACTGACCTCAGAAGGATGGAAAGCTGAGTCAACCTTGAGCCTATCAGGATCGAACTCCTGGCAGTGAGCAGAGTTAGCTTGCAATACTGCATTCTAACCACTGCGCCACCACCAAGCGTATGCTATAAATCAGTAATTCTGTTCTATAAGCAGTCTTTCTGCCACTAAATTTTTAACCGTTGAATGTAGAACTTTTAATATTATTCTTCTGAGAAACAGTTAGCAAAAATATATATGCAAGAGAGAAGTAAAATACAAAATACATTTTTTTTTGCAAATCAGTTAACCATTTGCAGAAGGCCAATGGCGATACTAATCACAAATTTATATTTACCAACTGTAAGTCTATTTTATTTTTACAGGTTTAACAAAATTGCTCATACAAAAGAAACAATGAAATATGATGGGCTAAACTCTCTGACTTATACCGTAATAAAAACTGATAAATTTCAATTATATACAAAAATCACAGTGGATATTGGATCACCAAAAAGCTAGTGTGGCAGAAATGCAATAGAAGACTTGGAATACCCAACCAGTGACAATTCAACTTTTCAGCATTTTATAAATGATTTTATGCAATCAACTTGAAAGAAGGACACCTGTTTTGTCATCCTGAGAACTTGCAATTGGCAGGAGAAATGAGAATTTTAATCCCAAATTTTGCTGTATACATCTTTTTTTTTCATTTTTTAAAAACTTTATAAACAATAAATAGAAGCTGTAAATATATGTATTTTCAGGGAATGGTGGAGACTTAGGTGCTCAATCCCCTTGGAAGTTCTCCCATGCAAGCATCACAAAAAAGAATGGAAGTTGTATTGAAGCTTTTTTTTCCCTTTCCCAAAACTCTCTTTTATGTCAGGAAGCTAAAACCTAAGAAGGATTCCTAGTGGATAGAGGCCTATATATTTGACAGCCGTTCTCTCCACTTTAAAATAATGAGGGTCACAATTTGGGAATGTTACTGTTTGCAAATTGTGAGGTATTCTGCAGTGGTAAGTCATTTCCCTTTCTTCCTGCTTCTTTCCCAATTTAATTTAAAAATTAGATCACTGTATGAAAATTCACTGCTGTGGGTACAGGTGGAAGGATTGGAAAATGCTGCTAAAGTGGTTTGAGTTTACATACTTTGATTTATCTTCCCAAATCTTGTCAGGATTGTTTCTTCTTGTCTGTAACCTTCTGTGGAGGGGAAAAAGAATTACAAACCTCAAAACAAACACCTTTGCATTCTGTTCTGCTGGCATGGAGATTTAAATAATGCAAGCCTCTTTGCCCAAAAGTGTATCTGCAAGCCAAAATCTTGAAACCACGGTGCTTGCTTTAATCTAACAGGACAATCAGACAAGTTCTTATACTGGGCTCACTGCACCATGGGGCAAAAGTATGAATGAAACGCTTTGATCCTATCTGTTTTCATGCAAAAAATAATTGTGTTAGGTTGCTAATTGAAACTTCCTAATTTTTGGTGGATGTAGTTGGGTAGTTGTGGAGAGGTCGGGTTAAAATATGCACTATAACCCAGGTCATGCAGCGTTCCTTCCCTAATGTATAGAAAGAAGAAAGCTTGCATCCAAGTCTGGCACTCAGGGCTAACCCATTGTGGTGTGAGCTGTGAATATCAGCATCAAAAGCACAAGGGATGCTGATAGGTGGAAGGCACAGTTCATGGGTTGGCCCACTGAGACAGAACATTGATAGATCAGCAATACATAAAACTTAGCTTGCTTAGGCGCTGTAGCTATTTGAAAATGAGCCACGTCTAGAAGTATTTCAAAAGGACAAAGCCTGTGTGTAATGCTCAAACAGATGGCCCGCGTAACATCTGTTTCGGAATGAAGCTGAACATTGTATTTATTCATGTGAGAAACATCTCTGTTTCTGTGGAACACTGATGGGATCTCTCCCAAGCTCATTCTGCAGGGTCGTCCTTGTCTTAAGAACAAGAACAGGGGAAAGCGAACAGTTGGCAAGAGTGAGACAGCATTACTCTCCAACTGACCAGAACTTGTCTACTCTGAGTAAGTCTGCTGGGATTTCCTCATCCAACGGGAAGTTATGCTTCCAGATTTTCTCTAAATACAGCTGGTGGAAGGAGCCATTCAATTTTCTAGATAAACAAAGCAAGGTTTTTGCTTAGTTAAAACTTATAAATGGGGCTTAGCCTTCCAACAAAGTTGAGAGGAAGAATATCCTAAGCCTATTGGGATCATTAATTGCCCAAGGTGGTATGTTTGTGTGTGATATTGGGATGCAAAGCCTTCTTTACTTTCTTTTTGCCCTACCTGGCAAAACTGTAGCATAGAGGTATCCCAGTAACCAGTAGCATAATCTCTAAGATGAGAGAATAGTTCAAATGGAATTCCTCAGTGAAGACCACTCTTGATACCGCAAAACAAACATAATCCACCTAAGGACTGATATATTGCCAGATTGCCTTACATGTGAATGGAAAGTTTTGTTTTATTTTCTACAGCTCTAATGCAGTCTTTTTCTTACTGGAGAGTGGCAAATGCTTTGCAATTCTGGGTTTATAAAGTGCCTTTTGGTTTTTAAAATGTTTTGTCAGGAATGTTTACTATTGTAAAGGCCTAAATATTATAAATGTCAATCAAAGGAATTTTTTTCTCAGTTCTCAGTATAAAACTTGAAGACTGCTGCTGGATTTTACTGCTAAAAATATTAGAGGGGAATAGGGCAATGGCAACTGCAACATAAAACGGCATGTTAGAACCATTAAGTGGCAGGCAACATCATGTTTTAAGTAGATTGGATTTATAAAATCTGCCTTCATGAGAATGTTCAGTTTGCCTTGCAAATAGGTTCATCTCTATGTCTGAAGAACCATAAATTATGGCTTGTTGGGATGTTTGCATTTCTCCCACTCCATTATGAACTGTTGACAAAGTCAGTGAAGCATGGCTTGAGGATCAAAGTAGAATTTGCACCCCACTTTTGAAAATGCATGCTTGTATGAAAGTGTTTCCAGTGATTTCCTTCTGTAAAAGGAGTAACCTCCCAATAGCTTCAGCATTTTTATTATCAAGCAGATCCCAACCAGTCATTAAGGAGCTGCTCAGAATTCACATATTTTCAGGGAGGGAGATAACTTTGAAGTTTAGCTTTCTCCTATACTGTATGCACCCTTCCATTTTTTTTATAGAGGCAAAATAATCTATTTTAAGAAAGTATCTTGGAGGATTACAGCATTCACATCCCTCAACAGTCAAGTAAAGGAAAGCCTAGTCTCTACTCTACTATCAATAGCTTTTCAACTTTTCAACTCCACTTGCCCAACTGCATTACCAAAGGAAACCATTCCCAGTTCATTTCGGTCAATCTTTCATAAACTGGTCTGCTTCAAATGTGCGGGACATTGTAATCCAGGACAACTCAAAGACACCAAATTGGCTAAGGTGGCTTTTGCTGCTGATAACAGAGAGAACATGCACATAGAACTCCAGTTTACTCACGACTGAGGCAATCCATGCAATAGAGCAGAGACAATCTCCCCATTATCTTACTTGGAAGCTATGTTTCCGGGCTTCTCAAGCTTCTCAAACCCACTGGCAACCAGTTGTGTAGCAGATGAGAGATCTTGTGTATCGCTATTAGTATATGACATTCTTGAATTTTAGACTATGGAGAAAGTTGGATGAGAGAAGCAGTTGGCTTCTTCATGCCAACCGTTTCCCCTTTTGTTCCTTTTATCATGTGGAGAGAAGCAAATGGCCAAAACAAAAACCCCATCCTTATTGGATTGAGGGATCCCTCTGCCCTCTTTAAAAAATCTCTAATAGAAATATTGAGCTCTTCCCAAAGTGAGATGAATTGAGGCAGGAAGGAAGGCTGTTCAAACAGATGTTGGGTTTTCCAGCCTGAATAATCTTCCCCAATCTGGTGAACTCCAAAAACATCAGGATACAACTCCCATTGTCCTTGTCCAACATCCTTAGTTTGCTGCCATGAAATCTGGGCTTAATCATAACATGATAGATAAAGAGAATGGCAGGCAATGATTCTTTCTTACTTTTATTTCACTACTCTTGCTTGGTTTCTGGGGTGTATGTGAATAAAATTGTTATCTTTCACTGCCAACTTTAATTTTTTAGAATGTCCAGATCCAAATGCTTAATTTACCCTTACTGTATTGGGTATGGGACCTGTATCTGGTTCTAGCATGTGCCATCCTTTTGAAGCAAGAAAAAACTTTCAAATCTTAGGCAAGCTGACAACAAAGAAGCAATTCCAATATGACTTATTCAAAGCCAGTGCTTTTCAGCCTCAGCAATTTTAAGATGTATGGACTTCAACTTCTAAAATTCTCCAGCCCGAACTTCTGGGAGTTGAAGTCCATGCATCTTTAAGTTGTTGACATTGAGAAACATTCGTCTAGGTAACCAAGCTCTTCAATTCTTTCAGATTCCCTCTTCTTGTAGCATATGGGGGAAAAAATAAGATGATATCCGTTGTTTCTCTGAACCTGATATATTTCTAAAAATTTTCTTGGTTTCTCCAGCTATAGAAGTAGGAGGCATAATATTTAAATGCATACATTACAATAGCTTTATCTGTAGACATGTATTTGGGGCTCAAATCCATTTGAGTCTGTTGCCCGCAAAACTGAATATGTGACATGTAAGTTAAATGTGAATTTTAAGGCTAGGGTTTTCTCCTACATTCTTTACTACACAACAGCTCCTAGAAAAAAGCTTTTGTAAACATTTTAGAATTAGATTAACCATTCTTAGTCAAAATACAAGCATGAAAAGTTACAGATCAAAATGGAGGCTGAAACCCTGTAATATTCTGAGAACATCTAACTGAATACAGATGGTATTTACAGTTGTCAAGGTTAATATGTTACATTAGACTTTGGTCAAACAAATTTGAGATGCAGTAAAGTCCACTCCAGTCACTCAGTTCTTTACGATGGCTGCATTTTCATGGCAACCATATGGAAGTCATTTGCTACTGCTTTCTTCCTGGGATTTTATTTCAACTTTTGAATTTAAAGTGCAGGTCCGTAAGGATTTCCCTGTGGTGCCACATCCAAGTGCTAATGAAGCACTGCAGATTTTTGCTTATGTTTTCTGAGATCAGTCAACTTTTGCTCACATTCTGCTCTCTACTGTGAAAAAATGCAGTATAAAACCTCCCAGAGCCCATTTACTGAAATAATATATTAGGCTGAGTTTACAAAGCACAAGTTGTGATCCCACTTTTCATTTACCATTTCTCCCTATTTTCACTGGACACGTGGATGCCTTTTAAAAATCAGGCTCAACTTCCAATGTGGATTCAGCAAATAGGTTTTCTAGCCTATAAATACACATTCCAGCAAGCAACTATTATGTTATCCATCATTCAGCACAGCTTAACCATGTGCTTACCTGTATGTAAGTGTGTATGACTTGGATGTGCACATGAAAATCAGGGAAAATTGCCATAGAACCTTATTCAATAACCTGGTTATAATTTTCATCTCTTCAAGGTGTTTGAGAGAAGTGCCTTAAAATATTTTGCAGAGTGCATAGGGGGTGAAGGGATAAACCGTGTTTGCTCAGTTACTTTAGCATTGCTGTGGATCATTTTTGCCTTTCCAGAAAACAGTATGAAAGACATAATTAATAAAGGTTGCTGTATAGTAACGACAATGTTTCTGTTGTTATATTTAATTTCTTGATGTTTCTCCTCTTATTTCTTTTGTTTGCGTCACAAATAGTCAGCTAACATTTCTGTTTAATCTGTGAAGGATCAGAACATGTGGACTTTTGTTCTGTTTTCACTTTGCATGTGTGGAGATACATGAATAGCAAATGGGAAATTGGTATTTATTATTCCACTGGCAATTCTATTTCAAACAAGGCCTCTTCTGAAACTATTTCTTAGTCTGACATTCAAGGCAGGGCAACAGAGCTTCTTCCTGCACCTCTTAGTCATCTCAGGATCCTGCAGGAAAACTCCTTCCCCTCCTTCATTCTGGATTGATTATAGGGTGGGGACTGATGAAGCTCACTCTGTCTGTTTTCAGGCAGAGGGCTCCTGCAGCTACCAATTAGACCCAGTCTTGTGAAAAACAGGATGTGCAGTTAGCTGCCCCTTTCATTTATTGCAATTAAATGGCGCAAAGCAAAAGAAAATAGCGTAAGCCATGATTATGGTTACATTTTCAGCTACTACAATAACCTTGGTCATAAATGATAACCAAAACTCTCATTTCCACAGTCATTTGTATGGCTAGGCGTCACTGTGTTCCTTTTCTACATTTATTTTATCCAGACATCCTACAATCCTTACAGAAAAGTCTGCTGGCTGGTATATTTTCAGAGCAACTTCATATGAATGACCACTGCCTGGATCTATGTAGAGTCCACAATTATATATTTAAATGTGTGTATTCAATAGGAAAAAAAAAGGTGTGTTTGTGTGGACCTACCTAATCAGCTAGCATTCTGCACCTAAAACATTTGACCTCTCTGAACTATGCAAACTGAGCAAAAATGCATCTCTCAAGATAGTCTAGCTGTAAATGAAATGGTTTGGAGGGAAAAAACTGGAATGTGAAATACAGAGAGGTAATCTCTCCCATCACCCCAAAGTGCCTCTTTTTGCCATTGTAGTGCCTCTCTTCCTGGGCACAAGGGTAGAAATGGGAAGGTGCCACTACAGCAGTGGTTCTCAACCTTTTTAATGCCGTGACCCCCCAACCGGTCGTAAGTCGAGGACTGCTCAACCGGTCGTAAGTCGAGGGCTACTCAACTGGTGCAGCACCATTTGCAGGATGGGACTTTTGGCGGGCTCAGCAGGGCAGAGACAGCCTGGACAATTCCTATTGGCTTTTGAAAGCCAATAGAATTAGACTCTATTCAAGAGAGTCTATTCTATTGGCTTTCAAAAGCCCATAGAATAAAAGGGAGTAGCACAGCTAAGGAAAAGGGAAAAAAAATGGCGGACTGCATTGTTTGGTGACCCCCGTGAAATGGTCGTTTGACCCCAAATGGGGTCCCGACCCACAGGTTGAGAACCACTGCACTACAGGAATGTTTTCCACTTGATTCCTGGCTGTAATCTGGATCAGGATCTTGAAGGATCTATTGTGTTGTTTCTTTGGTGCTGGCGAAGTTGTTATTGGAAAGACTCGAATTATGTGTTGGCAGCTAGTTCCTGAAAGAAGCAGTGAACTGTAAAATGACTCTATTTGCCTATTATTTTCATGACTTGTTGATTGTTATGAGTGTAAAAAATTAGTGTTTTCCACTGATCAAAGATTCTTCCATTCTTAATTACAGAATTGTCCCTGTGTTCGCAGGGCTGGGGAAATTATTGTTGTTGCCTGTATTAATATGTTAATATTGTGACATTCGTTTATTTTTTTATATATTGCTGGCAAAATAAAATGTTTTTGAATCAATGCACTTGGTCACATTCTTGGAAAGGAAGAGAAGGGGTTATGTTCTGGTTCTTTTCTGAAATTAACTGTTTTTAATGTAACACGATAGAAATTTGAAGCAAAAATCTAGGGGACTCTGAATAGCAAAATTACGTAGTTTGGAACTGACAGATTCCATTATTTTGATTTTAAATATTCAGTTCATATTGAAAGTGGCACATGAGGATACTTGATTCCTATCCTGCTCTAGATTTATTTATTATTTAATGTGGGGAAGCATTTAGATATTCACATTGTATAATCAAACAACCCCTACCTTAAAAATGAGCACAAGAGGATGATATTTTGTAACCCATTCTTGAGCCATCTGTACCTTTTTTTTACCTGCAGGTTTTATTTCGTACATATTCGTGCACATGTTTGCTACAGGCATTATGATATGGCTAATTAAAGTCTCCTTTCTCATAGTTACTTATGTGGTTCTAGCTTTAGTTCAGATACTGCTGAATTATAGTTTCCAGCAGTTTCAGTTGGCTTGGCCAGTGCTAAGGGATACTGGGAGTTGAGCAAGTCTTGAAGGAACACACATTGTCTCCCCACCCAGCTGGTTTAAAGAACAGAACTTTGAACTTGAAAGGGGCAAAATGAATGTATCGCCGAAAATCTTATTTTTATTTCAAACAATACCCATAATACTTGAGAATTTTTTTTAAGATTTAAATTCATTAATTTTGAAATTTGGCAAGGAAAGAAAGCTAGAATTAAGATGACAACGTTACAAGTTGCTAAGGAAAATGGAGGATTTGGTTTACCGGACTGGGTTTTGTACTATCAAGCATCTTTATTAACATGGGTAAAAGAATGGATAACTCTTAGAAATAAAATGTTGCTATATCTGGAGGGGCACGATTTACAATTGGGGTGGCATGCTTTTTTATGGTATGGGAAAAATAAAATTCATAAATATTTCCAAAACCATTATATAAGAAATACATTTTTAACAGTATGGGAAAAAATAAAAAGTAAAATATATTTGAAAATTCCAGGGTGGTTGTCAACTATGGAAACATTTGTACACCTAACTTTGGTGGGCTTTGAAAAAATCTGGAGATCTAGTGATATTCTAAATTCTGAAGGGAATTTAAAATCTAAACAAGAAATGGAATAATCAGGGTATCAACTTATCGTGGTGGGCACATTTACAAATGCAAACTAGATATGAAAAAGATGTTAAACTGTATGGATTTTATAAAGAACAAATGGCATTTGATAAGACTTTGTTAACTTCAGATGAGAAATTAAGAAAATGTATAATTTTTTATTAACTTTGGAAATGTAAAGTGAACAAGTTAAAGAAACAATGATAAGATGGGCGAAAAATTTTGGATATAATATAGAATTAGAAAAATGGCGAAACTTATGGGAAAGGAATTATAAACTGACAATGTCAACTTCTTTTAAAGAAAATTTACATAAAATGTTTTATCGATGGTACCTGCCACCAGCAAGATTAGCAAAAATGTTTAAAAATATGTCAGATAGATGTTGGAAATGTAAACACAAGTCAGGCACGTATTATTATGTTTGGTGGACAAGTGATAAAGTAAAGAATTATTGGAAAAAGATACATACTTGGTTAGAAAAGATGTTGGGAGAACATATAGATTTTAAACCTGAACTTTTTTTATTAGGTATAATGCCAGAAAGGATTAACAAACAAAGCTTATATTGATTTTACACGTCACAACAGCGGCAAGAATAATATTTGCGCAATATTGGAAAAATGAAGGAATACCAGCAGATGAAGAAATAATTAAAAAAATACTAGAATGTGCAGAGATGGACAGATTGACTATGAAACTGAAAGAAAATGAAGAAACAGAATATTATCAAACTTGGGACTTATTTTACCGATGGTTAGAGGAAAGAATAAAGGATTAGGAATTAAATATATATTAGCATATTTAAACCCAGACAGCACGTTGGTTGAAAAATTATTATTAATGTATGGAAAAAAATCAATAAAATCTTATTAAAAAAGAACTTTGAACTTCAAAAGGGCAAATTTTTATTTTTCTCTGTGTTCAGTATATGGCTAATGTACATGTGATATACACTTAATCACAAAAAAGCTTATTTCAACATGTAAAAACAAGAAAAAAGTCAAGGAAATGATTGGTCCACTAATGGGAGAAAATGGCAAGAAGGTAACAAGCAACGAGGAGAAAGCAGAACTGCTTACCTTGGGTTTTTTGCATCTGTTTTTACACAGGGAAACCCCAAGGTTTGGAAGGATGGATGGATGGATGGATGGATGGAAGGAAAGGAAGAAAGGAAGGAAGGAAGGAAGGAAGGAAGGAAGGAAGGAAGGAAGGAAGGAAGGAAGGAAGGAAGGAAGGAAGGAAGGAATTGTCAAGTGTGATCTCAGAACCACTGAACTATATCTTGCAAAGATCCTGGAGTATCAGGAAACTACCAGAGGACTGGAAAAGAGCTGATGTAGTTCCCATCTTCAAAAAAAAAGAAAAAAAATGGATCCAGGAAACTACAGACCTATCAGCCTAACATCAAGATTCTGGAAAAGATAATCAAGCACTGAACACCTAGAGGCAAACAAAGTCATAACCAAAAGCCAACATGGATTTGTCAAAAACAAATCTTATTGCATTCTTTGACCAGGTGACAAAAATAGTGGACCAGAGGAATGCTGTGGATATAATTTACTTGGACTTCAGTAAGGCGTTTGATAAAGTAGATCACAACCTACTACTTGATAAGATAGAAAAATGTGGGTTAGACAGCATCACCGCCAGATGGATTTGTAGCTGGCTGACCAATCACACATAAGTGTAGTCCTCAATGGAACTGCATCTACATGGAGGGAATATGCAGTGGGATACCCCAAGGCTCTGGCTTAAGCCCTGTACTCTTCAATATCTTCATCAATGATTTGAATGAGTGGATAGATGGGGAACTCATCAAATTTGCAGACAACAGCAAGCTGGAAGGAATAGCCAACATTCCAGAAGATAGGCTTAAGATACAGAAGGATCTTGACAGACTTGAACATTGGGCGCTATCTAACCAAATGAAATTCAATGGTGAAAATATAAGGTTCTCCATTTTGGCAAGAAAAAACAAATGTACCAATATAGAATAGATGGTACCTGCCTTAATAGTAGTAACTGAGAGAGGGATCTTGGAGTCCTAGTGGACAATCACTTAAATATGAGCCAGCAGTGTCCTGCAGCTGCCAAAAAAGACAA